ATTGCATCTGAATGAAATGTATTCCCTACCCTCACCAAGTATACAACTTATAATGTGTGAACAATTCCCATTCTTAAGAGTCACACCTTTGCGTGAAGGCTTTCATTATATGTGGACAACAGAAATGAAGTCCATCATGTGTCAATATTAAAAGTATTGACTTTTTACGGACATTTTTTCTAACATCTATTGCTGATGTCCCTCCCTCGCAGTTTGCAGAACATAATGACAAACATTATTAACTATTTGATATCATTACCAGCAGTAGTATTATGCCATTTGGTGCAATAGTCTTAGGGGCTAACGAAACATAGGTATAGGGGTTTACAGATTCATTTATATACACTTACTAACAACAAATTAAATTATAAAAATTTCACATCTATTTTTTCTATATTTTTATTTCTTATCTTTTCTAATAATACTTTACTTTTTACTTCTTTTAAACTAGCTTGTAAAGTAAGATTTAATAGGCTTTAAAATAAGGACCTGAGGATCTCTGCTAGGAATAATTATGAGTTTGCAGATCTAATTTTGGCAACTTAGATGCCTCTTGGTGTCAGATGTCTTCTGTGAGACTGAAATTACCCAAAGATGACAGCTGGAAAAGGGAATGTTATCAGAAGGTGCTTTGGTTTACTAATGGCTTTATGAAAGTGAGGGTGAAAGTGAAAATTGCTCAGTCATGTCAGATTCTTTGCAACCCCTTGGACTTTACAGTCCATGGAATTCTCCAGGCCAGAATAATGGAGTGGGTGGTCTTTCCCTTCTCCAGGAAATCTTCCCAACCCAGGGACTGAACCCAGGTCTCCCACATTGCAGGCAGATTCTTTACCAGATGAACCACCAGGGAAGCACATGGCTTTATAAGTGTTCCTAAATGACTAGTAAATATCCTCTCTTCTTTGGACATGAAATAGTTTAAGAATGCTAAAAATATTCCCCAATTTTATTTTTTAAATGTAAATAATTTCCAAATGGATTACATACAAAGTATTCACACTCTTCTATAGTTATTTAAGGATTTTCATTAAAGAATAAGATATACAGAAACAAGGAGAAAGAGGGAGAGAGAAGCCCAAGACTGAGCCCTGAAACCGTCCATCATTCACAGGTAGAGACTCACCCAGGAGACTGAGGAGGGAGAGAATNTTATTTCTCAGCTGTATTTGCTTGACTGTCTACTAGATGCCAGTCACTCACTATTTTATTTACAAGGTAAAATGCAGATTAATCTTTAAGAGATAAATAAGAAAGAAGCCTGTTATTTCTATCTTAGCTTATTAAAAATGAGCTAAGAGTTATAATTGCTGCATCTGCACTGGTTCACAATGCCTGGACCATAGGCTTCTTAAAGCAGGTGGATAAGGTCCACTCCCTCGGACTCGAGTGCCCACTCAATGCCCTGCCCACAGGAAGTCTTAGAAAGCACATGCCTGGTGAATGACAAGGATACCCACACCCCACCAGAAAGAGGAGGACACTGCAACCTCTAAAAACATTTACTGTGACTCAAAAAGTTTCTCTGTCTCTCAGGACCAAAGGGAGAACTATGCTTCCCCCACTGCCTGAGATACACAGGGCTAGTGGCCAATACTGGTCAGCAGAGGTGAGCATAAATGACAGGGACAAAGTCAGCCAGACTACTTAGATGACGGCCCCAAACTCCCTAGTGTCTGTTCTACTCCTAGGTTGCTCCTGGAGGAATCCTGTTTTGATAAGAGAGGGAAAGAGGAAAGAGCAAAGCACATTCTTCTAGGGGCATGAAGGCAGTTACCCAGCAACTGATGCATAGAGAAAAGTATATAAGCAAGAAGTAAAATTCTGGTTTCTTTATCTCTCAAATAAGTAAATAAATTTAAGTGAATTAATAAGTGCACATCAGTATAAGAGAAAAATAAGTAACTTCAGAATTTTTCCCATATATGAAAACCATCTGAATAAAAAAAAATATTTTTAAAAATATAAAATATTTAGATAAAAAATAATAAACGCACTCAATGCTGACTGTACTGTTTCTGTCTATAGTTTACAATGCTGACTGTAGTCCTCTCTGTCTATAAAAGCTCTTGTCCACTGATTGTCAAGGGAGGGGGATTCAGCCTTTGGACAGGCGTCTACCCTCCCCCCAACACACACACCAGCCTCCAAAATAAAGCAAATGTTCCTTTCCACCAACCTGGCCTCTTTATTGGCGTTTGAGTGTGAGCAGATGGGACCCCCCCCCTTCACTTTTTGACCATCTATGGTCAGCCTTGGAACTATCACAGCACCTGTCATGGTGAGAGGGGAGTGAATTTTAGTGTTAAAATGAAGGGGTAATGAGTTAGAAGTCAGAGACCAGACCATACTCAAAACCGTCTTGATTTTAGCTGGTTCAAGACAGTTTTTGTGGGATCCTGTTTATCTCAATATCTGTGCCCACCTACGCCACAGGTAACAAAGGAAACGGTCATTAAAGGTAAGTCAGGGCCCTTAATATTCCATGGGGCTGGACTGTGATGAAACAGTCACCAACAAAGCCCATCAACAACTCCCTGGGAGTAAAAGTAGAATCTTGGTAATAAAATGAAGTCTAACCTTTTGTTACTCCTTTTGTGCTGAGTCAAGTTTCACTTGCTCACAGGGTGCTTCATGAAGAGGCCTCACACCCTGCCCATCAGACAAGACTCCCTCGTGTGAAATGGCTGCGTTGACACCTCAGCTTGGAGGGCTGAGTGCAGAGTCACTGCGCCGAGCACCGCGATTCAAGATGGCGTAGAGGGGTTGAGTGCAGAGATGCTGAGTCCAGTACTACAATCTGGTTCAGCACAGCTGAGCGGGTCCTATGAGAACACCACCGGCCCCCAGCTGACAGGAATCACATTCAGCTTCAGCAGCGCTGTGGAGGGTTTTCAGAGGAAACAGTCCCCTAGAGCACAATCTCCTGGACGAGCCACACCTGGCAGAGGGACTTCCCAGGTGGCTCAGCAGTAAATATCCCGCCTGCCAATGCAGGACACTCATGTTGACCCCTGGGTCAGGAAGATCCCCTGGAGCAGGACATGGCAACTCACTCCAGTATTCCTGCCTGGGAAATCCCATTGACAGAGGATCCTGGCAGGCTGCAATCCATGGGGCCACAAAGAGTCGGACATGACTGAGTGACTGAGCATTCGCGCACACACACACACATGCACACCCCTAGCAGAAGGACCCCCACCTCCTGTCGAGCGGAGGGGTGGGGGGTCTCATTTCGGAGAATTGGTAACAAAATAGGAAGAAATCAATCCGTCTCTGTTTTTCCTGGTGGCTCAGATGAAAAAGAATCTGACTGCAGTGCAGGAGACCCGAGTTTGATCCCTGGGTTGGGAAGATTCCCTGGAGATGGGAATGGCTACCCACTCCAGTATTCTTGCCTGGAGAATTCCATGGAATTCTCGTGGGCTATAGTTCATGAAGTCGCAAAGAGTCAGACACAACTGAGTGACTCACACTTTTTCACACTTTATAACAAAGAAAGCAGCTGCCATTTGGGAAGAAATGAGATCTTCTGCCTCCAGTAGTAGTTCTCACTTGGCTGCAGGGTGGAATCACATGTGAGATTTTAAAAAGTGTTGCTTTCTCCGTCCCCTCCCCTGAGATCCTGATTTAACTGAGATGTGCTTTACAGAGCTCCCCTGGTGATTCAAATTTGTAGCCAAATTTACCAACCACTGGCCTTTGCCATACTGAGGATATGAAGACCTCTACCTGGACGAGGAAACAGAGTAAACAGAGTGATTCTGCAGGAGCAGAAGTGTATGTTTCTGTGTGCAGGGTGCAGTTGGGGTGGGGGCCTGTGACCCCGTTTGCCCACTCTGAGGCCTTCCTGGCCCCTCATTGCCCAGCCTCCACACTTCTCACCTGGATGCCTGGATTCTTCTGTGCCCTGCTGGTGATTTTATGGCAACCCACTCCAGTATTCTTGCCTGGAAAATCCCATGGACTGAGGATCCTGGTAGGCTACAGTCCATGGGATCGCAAAGAGTCGGACACGACTGAGCGGCTTCACTTCACTTCACTTCACTTCATAGTTGTCTCAGGAGATTTCATACAAGCCCTGCCTTAGTTCATCACAAACCTATGAGTAGGATTCCCAAGCTGTGGCTTGCTGAGAGGGAAATCCTGGGAACTATACAGGATGAGCAGCTCAGCAGTAACTTCAGGAGTAGCACCTGTGCAGGGAAGTTCAGGGAGCTCCAGGCAACTGGCTGAACACTGGTGTGGCACATGGCTGTGACTGGAACCTTCCTGTGCCTGGGGTCTGAGGTGTGTGTGTGTGCGTGCTCAGTCGTGATGACTCTTTGGGACCCCATGGACAGAGGATGGGATTTCCCAGGCAGGAATACTGGAGTGGGTTGCCATTTCCTCCTCCAGGGCATCTTCCCAACCCAGGGATCGAACCTGTGTCTCTTGGAGCTCCTGCACTGGCAGGTGGAGTCCTTACCACTAGCGCCCCCTGGGGGCTTGAGGGGACTGATCTTAAAAGTGAAGTCGCTCAGTTGGGTGTGACTCTTTGCAACCCCATGGGCTGGACCTGTCTCCTCAGTCCCTGGGATTTTCTAGGCTAGTGCCAGGTAATCCCCAGGTTCAGTGATAAAGAATCTGCCTGTCAATGCAGGAGACACAGGAGCTGCAAGTTTGATCCCTGAGTCGGGAAGAAGCCCTGGGGGAGGAAACGACAACCCTCTCCAGTATTCTATTCTTGCCTGGAAAATATCATAAACAGAGGAGCCTGGTGGGCTACAGTCATACGGTCACAAAGAGGTGGACATGATTGAACACAGGTAGTGACAAGTGCCTATGATAGCGAGCATCAAGAAGTGCAAAGGTGTAATGTGATGATCGTCCCAGTAAACAGCAGCTGCCCCTTATTCTGCTCTGTGTGACAAGGATGTGCTTTTGCTTAACTATCATATCACATTTAATTTTTTTTGGTATATGAAAATTTATTACTATCATTCTTTCATCATCAACATTTATGATCTTGGTCTATCCTTCTTGCGTTTGTGTAAGGCCAAAAAAGAGACACTGGCTACTTTGACAGCCTTAAAGTGGACTCCAGGAAAGTCACCAACAGCATGACCTTTGCAACCAAATCCAGCAACCAGAACTTCATCATTTTCCTCAATAAAATTCAAGCAACCATCACTGGGTACAAAAGGCTGTGATTTTTCGCCATTCTTGGTGAACTGAACCCTGACACATTTCCTGATGGCAGAATTTGGCTGTTTGGCTTCAACCTCTATTTTTTCGAGCACAATTCTTTGGGCATGAGAAGTGCGTCTAAAAGGGCTGTGCCCAAAAGGGCTTTCTTGCACTGTCACCATGCCGCTTCTAGGTGGCTACAGAGCTTCCTGGCAAAGACTGTGACACTTGCTCATCCTACCAGCACCATGGGCCTGAAAGAAAGACCATCATGTTTAATTTTAACACAAGCTCGGAGGGTATTAGGATGTTAGGACCCCCACCATCTTACAGAGCTTCAGGACCTTGCTAGAGGTCATAAGACTCCTGACTGACAGATGCAGCCCCTGAGCCCGCTCCACCCGTGTCCCCCAGGACCAGGAGATCTCCCTGCCCAAAGATCTGCTCAGCAGCTTCAGTCTGACTCCCTGGGTGGGTCCATGTGGTCCCTCCAGGGGCCTGCAGGCCCTTTGCTCTTATTGCCCCTGACTCAGGTCCTTCCTTCTGCAGGGCAGCCCCTGAGAGCACCACGGTCGGCAGGAGGACACCCTTGCCCCGTTCTAGCAGCTTTTCCCTGCAGCCAACTCCCGGGGGTGGGGTCAGGCTAGGTTGTGAGGAGAATCATAAGAGAAGCAGGAAAGATGTGAGCTCATGGTCAGCACCTTCCTCTCTTCTCCTGACACTTCCCACCACTCAGGGCAGCTCTTCACGTCCCACGACCCTCCATTACAAGTGCTCCTGTAGCTCTGCTGTGGATCAGAGACACCAGGGAAGGGGTCGGAATGCAGAGTTCTAGGCTCCAGCCCCCAAGATCTGATCCAACATCCCAGTGGATCGGGATGCAGGGGAGTCCTCTGAGAACATTCTGAGAAGCATTTAACAGACCTGCCACTCGTATCTGTGGGCCCTAGGTCAACAGTATAATGAAGCCCATCCTTTATGTTTACATATTTAAAAGCTATAAATCAAACTAACACACTGTCAAGTACATCCTCATAACCACCTGGCAGGCTGGGATTCCTGGACCCTGGAGTTTGGAGCCAGAAGGCAGGACAGCAGACGGAGGGGCTGCCCCAGCCCCCAACCCTGCCCTGCTCTTCCCACCGCTGGCTCTGACTCTCTCTGTGCCCTGAGGAATCTGCTGCTCAAGCAAGAGCATTGCAGTCTGCAAGTCAACGCTCAGGCGACCCTCTTCTGCCCCGTTAACAGCTGCATCTTGACCACCTGTCGGGCTGGGAGATGGGCCCCAGGAGGGAGCCCTGCACTGGGGATGGGAGCAGGGATTCTGGGGTCCAGGTGCTCAGAGCGCTGCCTGGAGGGGGCGGGGCTCCAGGTGGCCACACCCCCTGGTCCTCTCTGGCTGCTGCACATGGGAGAGGTGCAACCTCAGGATGACCAGAGCAGGGCCTCTAAACCAGCGCTTCTCAAACTGCACTGTGAGCAGGACTCATCTGGATTCTAGAGATTCTGAGTCAGAAGGTCTGGGGTAGAGACAAGATTTTGTGTTCTCACAGCCTCACAGGGCAAGCCAATGCTGCTGGTCCACAGGCCACACTGAGAACAGCAGAGCCCTAGGGCAGGGTGGACAGAGGTTTTCCTGTAACGGGCCAGGAAGCCCATTTCCAGGATTTGTGGGCCTTATGGTGTGTGCTCAGAAAAACATCTACTTCTGCGTCATTGACTCCGCTAAAGCCTTTGACTGTGTAGATCACAACAAACTGGAAAACTTAAAGAGATGGGAGTACCGGACCACCTTACCTGTCTCCTGAGAAACATGTATGCAGGTCAAGAAGCAACAGTTTGAACTGGACATGGAACAACTGCCTGGGTCCAAATTGGTAAAGGAGTGTGACAAGGCTGTTATTGTCACCCTATTTATTAAACCTACATGAGAAAGAATATATGTGTATGTGTAACTGAATCACTGCTGTACAGCAGAAGTTAATACAACAGTGTAAGCCAACCATACTTTTATACATTTCTAAAGAAACAAGAAATAAAAGCCAAGGGTGTGAGTAGGTTCACTGTTAATATTTACTCTATTTACTTGCTTAGCCTGGTGTTTGTCTGATTTTTCCACTTTAAAAATATAATTCTTCCCTAAAGAATTAATCTGAGAAGATATTTTGAGTCCATGAAAATGCTGTGTCTCTTCCAACCCCCAAACATTCAATGTATGTTCAGTCAATGATGAATTTTGTCTGAATTATTTATGACAATGGCTCCCATATGGTACTTTTCTGTCAATTGGTCTACATTTGTGAGTTGCCTTTCTACTGTAAAAAAGATCTTTCCCCTCCTCCTATCTATTTTATGTCCTATTGGAATAAGTATAAACTCATGCATTTTAAAAAATTTTTATTGTTGCAAAATGTAGAGTTTAAAAATCCTCAACATATTGTTTACTGTTATTTACTTACAAAAGTTCTCATGTGCTATAAACTCCATCTCAGAGACTCATTTTTTTTGTCTAGGTAGTCTGCAAAATATAATTTAAAAAATGTTTTTCATATAATATCCTCCAGAATTAAATGTGATTAACTATCGGATCAAATACTGGTTTGGAATACCCAAAGCCTCCACCTATTAGGTGGATAATTGTGAGCATCGTTGCTGAGTGAAAGAGTGAAGTCAGTCAGAACCCTCCAATGCAAACTTTGTGTAGAAGGTTCTTAGTGTGTCTAAGTCTTAGCCTTGTTCTTCTTAAAAATATCACACAATCCCAATTTGATTATGGCAAGTCACATGGTTCTGGTGTATAGACGAAGGTCTCATAGGGCTGGGGCATGTTATTCCTTCTAGTAATATTATTTTTTAGGTCTAAATTCAAATAAATATATATTTCTCCCAGTTTTCAACACACACTGCTGGTTTAGTCTTTGAAAAAAAATTTTTTCCTTAGAACGTTAGGTTTATAAAATAGAAACTCAGTTAATCCATATTGTGTTTTAAAATGAAAATTAATAATGTATACATGAAATCTTGATTTTAAAAATCTGTTGTGTTTCTAGGTACCCTCTTCAACACTAGGACCATGCTGCTGATTCAAGAATCGAATCTATATAAATACTTGCACAGAATTGTTTTTAGGCTAAAGCTACATGGCTGAAGGGTATCCATGTCCATTTTGTCAAGGATGGTGCCAGTTTATTTCCCTGGCACTCTGGCTGGTTACTGCTCTCCTGTCACTCTCAAGTGTCCCACTCTGGACAGTACATTCTTTGGACACCCACACTGCTGGTGAGGAGCAGAGAAAGACCTGACAGGCAAGTCAGTGTTTCTGATTGCAAAACCAGGGCTTTCTGTTATCCCAGGCTACTTCTTAGAATTCCAAAATTATAAAGTTGACAAGGAAGGTTTGTTCTCAGTCATCATTTATTCATTCAGAAAACATTTACTGAGTGCCCCCTATGTAACAGATACTGTGCTGAAAGATGTAATTAAAAAGTGAATAGGTCACAGTTCCAAGTCTTTTTCTCATTTGGTTTAGTGAGAAAACAAACCATATGAATACTCATAGTCAGGGCAGGCTACACAGTTTACATAACCTGTGTAAAATGGAAAGAACAGGGCCCCTTGTTTAAAAATCACCACACTGGATGACAACAGGACACTAACCAAGTATGGTTCAGTTTAACAAATGAGAGGTGCTCAGGGTATTACACAAATACAAGTTACTAGGATGATGATTGATCTTAAAGTGACTTCCTAGAAGAGGTGACAACTGGGCTGACCCTAGAAAATGAGATTTCTTCTCTTCATGGACCTTCTCCTCCATTTTTTAAACCAGAAGGTATTGAGGAGAATCACTAAATCATCATTTTGACTTACACATCAGTCATCAAGAGTTTCCCCCACGGTACATCTTCATCACCTAGCTTAGAGCTGTGACACATGATATGGGGGGACACGGAGACATGCTGTTCAGACCTCCCTTCAAGGACTCGTTGCCTAGCTGCTGGAGGTGCTGCCAGTGGGCAACCTTAAACCACAAGCCTGCATGCAATGACCCTTCCAGGTGGAGGTATAAAGACCTGGCCATTGGATGTGTCAGGACAACTCTGATGGACCTTCTTCACTCCACATGCCCCATGGGATCAGTTAAGGTCATCCAGCCAGTGATCCAGCTTGATCTTTCCTTCTGCCTATCCTGTTTCTTTCCTGCTGATTCCACAGTGTTGATTCCAAAGGGTACCCCTGATAAACATCCCAGCACTAAACTCCATCTGAGTCTGCATTTCAGAGAACCAGCCTGCAACATGTATCAGAAAACATTCCAGTACTCAGGGATGTTTTTTATTTGAAAATTACTGGTTACACATGTACTTATAACATTTTAAAACCTCCAAATAAAATACAAAATGGTGGAAACAAGGACTTCTTGTGTGGATATCATTACCTTTGGTTTAAAACCCACAACCTAATGTTGTCTGGCCAAAATGAAATTAAATTATATATTAATAAAAGAAAACTATTAACAAAAATAAATGGAAAAAATAAATTGAAAAAAAATAAAAGAAAACTATTATGTTGAAACACATGAAAGTGTCATTTTATATAAAAGGCTGAATGTTAGCAGCTCCACGTGTTCAATCTAATAGAAAAAAGCCATTAGCATTTGAAATTTAGAGAACATTATACTTATGAATAACTCATGGGTAAAAGATATAGCTAATGAATTAAATTAGGAATTAGAAAATACATAATACTTTGGCTATTGATTGGTGTAGTATCAAAATTTGTAGGCTGTAGCTAAAGTGGATCTCAGAAAAAAATGTCAGCTTTATATACCTAGGTTAGAAAAATAATGATGTTATTAATCTGGTTGCAATTTAAGAATTTAGAGGAAAAAATCTCAAAAAGGAAAAGTTGAAAGAAAGAATGACATGATGAACTAGAAAGAAAAATGAAGCATCAATTAAGCAAAAAGTTGATTCCTTGAAAATAGGAAAAAGTTATACAAGAATACTCATAAAAAAAGAGAAGGTTCAAAGAAAATTAAAAGCCAAAAGAACACAGGGATGCTGCAGAGATTAAACATGTAAGATGTTGTGAATAAATTTATGCCAATCAAGCTCAAAACTCACAGGAAACAGATCTACTTCTAGAAAAATGAAATCTATCAAAATGATTCTGCAGAAATAACACACTGAATAGGAAGCACATAATTATCAAGCTACCCAGACAATGATGGCTGCACAACACTGGGAGTGTGATTAATGCCACTGAATTGTGTGATTAAAAATGACTATATGGTAAATTTTATGTTATATATATTTTACCACACTTTTTTAATGTAAAAAATAAAATCCTCTATCTAGAAGATAGTCTAGAACATGTCTGTCCTTCATTAGCAAATCCCCTGGAAGGGTTCCTACTTTGACATGGAATATTTTCACTTCCTTCTCTCTTAGAGGGCTTCCCCAATAGTTCAGTGGTAAAGAATCTGCCTGCAATGCAGGGGACACAGGAGATGAATGTACAACATTGTCCTTCTGTATTTTAACCATATGTTTTTTGGAGGGTGACACCTGTCTCTCCTATAATGTCACTTAAACTACATTACTCTATGTTCTTCCTATTATTTTTCTCTGTACTATTTTAAGCAGAGGTCTTTGAGTGGAAAATGGATCCTAGATCTGTTAAAGGAAGTGGTGATACAAATGGCATCATCACACAGTCCTCAAGAATCCCTAATATAATTAGAAAGTAATATGCAATTCTGGGAACAGTTTAAAAAAAAATCTGTGAGAATTTTGTCTCAAATCTTATAAAATGAGTTTGGCTCCAGAATCTCTCAAGACACAAAACCAGCTTATTGGTGGCCTGCACTGCTGATCTGGATAAAAAAGAAAATAGTATTACATATAAATAAACATAAAAAATCCTTTTGCAAGAGCCTGAACCCACTGAGTGAAGTTGGAGAAAAAATTATAGATTAATATTTGTAATATGTAAATATCTGTTGCTGGTGTAAAAAAATATATAATATAATTTATGCAGTGCATAAACCTATTGGAAAAATGCCTTTGGAATAGACATGAACTCATGGTAGAATCATAGAGTTGACTCAAAAATTGTGAAGGCTGAGGGTTGTCCGCTTGTCATTCATAATATTCATAACCACACAGTCACTGTGAGTGAAATCTGGTTATTTCCTTTCAGAGTGCACCTGAGGGGGGAAAAAAAAACAAAACCACATATTTATGAGTTTTAAAGTCCTTCTCCTAAGGCAACACATTCTTAGGTCCACTGCTTCACGTGAAGCAAATCATATCACTACTTAGAGGCACAATAGGAAAAACCAGGGATGTATTTATTCAGTGGAGGAAGTAGCCCCATTAAAACCTTCATTGGGGCTAGATTTAATGCCAAAAAACCTGTAGCTACACTTGATTTCTGATCATTATGATTCAGAGATATGCTTTATCACTAGAGTAAAACTGATAAGCAAAGTCATTTTACTAACTCAAAGCCTGCAGAGAAATAAAAAGCAAGGTGACAAAGAGGCTGGGAAATCTATTAATACTGTCTGCCCAAGGGTTTCTCATTTTCACACATAAAATGAGCACAACAAATTTGGGTGTTAATATCAGGGTGTAATCCCTGTATTTTATAAACTCTGATTGTCAAGCATTGAAAATAAGGAGTAGGAAATGGAGAAAGCATAATACTGTGCTCTTTCTTGGAGAATCCCATGGACAAAGGACCTGGGTGGGCTACAGTCCTAGGGTCACAAAGGATCGGACACGACTGAGTGACTAATATACACACACGTAGTCATTAAGAAGAGTGAGATAACCATATGCGTTGATAAAATCTGAGATACAACATTAAGTGACAAAGAGAGAAAGTGACAAATGACAGCTATCATTTGTGCTTAGAAACAGGAAGTTTCTTCCTCATACACAGAACATCACAACAGTCAACAGTGGTGCTTGGGGCTCCACCTTGTAGGGGAGCTGTGTGATGACAGTAGAGAGTGATTTATTTTTGTTCATAAATTTTTAAAAGTTTTTAACTTTTGTAGCATTAGATAAGCCATGTGTTTTAAAATATATTATTATAAATACATTTTAATTGTTTAGAACAGTGGTCCCCAACCGTTTTGGCACCAGGGACCCAGTTTCTGGAAGACACTTTTTCCACAGACAGGGCAAGAAAGAGGAGGGTCAGGTGTAAAGTGAGCAGTGGGGGCAGCAGCTGAAGCTTTGCTCCTTTGCACACCACTCACCTCCTGCTGTGTGGCCCAGTCCCGAACGGCCCACGGCCCATACCAGTCTGGCCCGGGAGATGGGGGCCCCTGATTCAGAGTCTCTAAAGCTACTTAAAACTATAGGTGTGTTTTTTATTACTGGAAGGCAAGTCTTCCATTTACAGCCTTTTAAAAAATGATCCCACTTTTATACTGTAAAATGCTGTATATTCTCAAAGCCCTTAAGCATCTGCTCTCTCATCTGATCCCTATAATAAGTGTGAAGAAGCTGGCAGGGCTGTAATCCCTGCTCTACACACAGGTGAGGACCTGAGGCTCAGAGACCTTGTGGGACACAAGGCCACGTAGATGCTAAGTGCCTCTTCCATCTGTTCAAGTGGGTCCGGGCTCCCAGAACTCAAATATGAGGATTTTATAACTTCTGGGGTCTATTAGGTGATTTCATGAATAAACAAAATGACACCTGTTACACACAGGGAACAAAGAAACTTCAAAAAACCTCAAGCAGATCTGCTTCATCACAGAACAGAGTAGATGACAGGCATTCATTCTTTGAGCTGAACTCTGTCCCCTCCAATTTTACATGTTGAAGTTCTAAACCCCCCAGTACCTCAGAATGTGACTGTTTGAGACAGTGTCTTTAAAAGAGGCAATAAAGTTACACTGTAGTCATACAGGTGGGTCCTAATCTAACAGACTGGAATTCTTATAAGAGACCAGGATACAGACTCACACAGAGGGAAGACCATGTGAGACACAGAGAGAAGACGGCATCTCCAAGCCAAGGAGAGAGACCTCAGAGGAAGCCAATCCTACCGACATCTTGACCTGACTTCCAGCCTCCACGGCTGTGAAGAAATGAGTCTCTGTTGTTTAAGTCGCCTGCTCTGTGGTCTTCGTATGGCAGCCCTAGCAGACTAATGCCCCCTTCAGCTTTATGAGTCTAAAAGGTACTTTCTGTACTATTTCATGGATCAGGGTCAATCAGACAGTGATCAGTTCACCTGAACTATTTGTTCAAGAAAATGTGATATGGAAGCACCTTCTCCCAGATGTTGAATTTTCTCTTCAGAAGAATGAATTCTGTTCTATTAGAGTGAAAACCTTGTGACTTAGGCTAATCATCCTGTTGTTACAGCTCTGAACAAGGCATTGATATATGATGCTTGCAAATTCAGAAAACTGATAATCTGACAGTTTATCTTCCTAAGAGGATGCAGAGTATGCAGAAATAATGTCAAGATGGGATGAGAATCAAGAACTGCATTTCCTTCTGTAGAGGTGACCTGAGCCAGTGGCAGGACTGAAATCTAAGAGTGAGGTTCTGTCACCCTGAGAACTTGAGTGACTGCCTCCACCTTGGCGACCACGTGAAAGGAGCAGTGTTCTCAGACTTGACACAGAACACAGTACCTAGGACTGCACTCAGCCTCCCTAGCGATTCCCGCTCTGTGCTCCCTGGACCAGCTCTGTGATCTTGGGTGAGCCCTGGACCCAATCTTTTCATCTATGATGTGGGATAAAAAAGGGTAGTCATGAGGATTAAGTGAAATTATACCTGCAAGAACTGTGTAAAATAAATTAAAAAGAACTACACAAATGTAATATTAATATTGTTAGAGTAGGTTCAGGATTAACAGACCAGGAATTGCAAGATTTCTAATTCTATGACCCATGTCTGCTTCTGTATGTATGTGACACTTGATTTAAAACATTTACTTAAAGAACAGATTTCTAATTCTGTGTCTGCTGCAAACTAGCTTAACACCAATTATGTACATGGGACCACACTCCTTCTGAGGACTTAGTTTCCTCACCTGTAAAATGAAGATGTTGAACCCTGTTATCTTATCTGGGCATATCTAAAGTTCTGAGATCAATTTCTCATTACTCAATGACTCGATCATACATAAGGATAATATAGTTTTTTAAATGAACACTTTGATGCATAGGTGGGGACATCTATATTTCATGTGTTATGCCTAAGTTCAAAAGAACAAAAGGGTTTTAAGAGCCCTTGTTGCTTTGTGACTTGGTTATATGGGAAATCACAAATGATTATCAGGTCTCAGGAGGGAAATTCTGACTGGGAGACACTCTAGTAGATGAAAGCACTCTGTGAATTTTAGGCACAAAAAATACACAGCTCCATGTTCAGCTTCTCAACATTTGCATATAGTACAGTCCTTATCAAAAGCTATCTCCTACCCTATGAACAGTGGAAGGTACTGATGTGCATTTCCTCATTTCTAAGGAGGATTGAGATGAAACAGTGACAGAGGGAATTTAGGCCACATTTTAGATACATGTTTCATACAGAAATACTGTTAGATACTGGGGCATGTTTTCTTTAATAGATATTTTAAATATTACACAAGTAATTTTATTCTACTTACAAGTGAAAATCTGGGAATTGCAGAAAAGTATGAAGAAGGTAAAATGCATCCATAATTTAATACCCAGACATAAATTCTCATGGGGGAAGCCTTACCACATACAGCCTGAAGCCTCATCCCACCTCAAACCATGCATCTCAAGCAACAAGAACACCACACCTTCCCTCCCTCCCTCCATCTTCCCATCAATGAAAATCCCACCTTGTTCCAGAATGAATTACAGGTGGCTGCATGACAATGCAGCCTGGTGGGCTGCAGTCCATGGGGTCGCTGAGAGTCAGACACAACTGAGCGACTTCACTTTCACTTTTCACTTTCATGCACTGGAGAAGGAAATGGCAACCCACTCCAGTGCTCTTGCCTGGAGAATCCCAGGGATGGGGGAGCCTGGTGGGCTGCCGTCTTCAGCTCTGTGATCTTGGGTGAGCCCTGGACCCAATCTTTTCATCCATGATGTGGGATAAAAAAGGGTAGTCATGAGGATTAAGTGAAATTATACCTGCAAGAACTGTGTAAAATAAATTAAAAAGAACTACACAAATGTAACATTAATATTGTTAGAGTAGGTTCAGGATTAACAGACCAGGAATCACAAGATTTCTAATTCTATGACCTATGTCTGCTTCTGTATGTATGTGACACTTGATTTAAAACATTTACTTACAAGAACAGATTTCTAATTCTGTGTCTGCTGCAAACTAGCTTAACACCAATTATGTACATGGGACCACACTCCTTCTGAGGACTTAGTTTCCTCACCTGTAAAATGAGGATGTTGAACCCTGTTATCTTATCTGGGCATATCTAAAGTTCTGAGATCAATTTCTCATTACTAAATGACTCGATCATACATAAGGATAATATAGTTTTTTAAATGAACACTTTGATGCATAGGTGGGGACATCTATATTTCATGTGTTATGCCTAAGTTCAAAAGAACAAAAGGGTTTTAAGAGTCCTTGTTGCTTTGTGACTTGGTTATATGGGAAATCACAAATGATTATCAGGTGTCAGGAGGGAAATTCTGACTGGGAGACACTCTAGTAGATGAAAGCACTCTGTGAATTTTAGGCACAAAAAATACAGAGCTCCATGTTCAGCTTCTCAACATTTGCATATGGTACAGTCCTTACCAAAAGCTATCTCCTACCCTATGAACAGTGGAAGGTACTGATGTGCATTTCCTCATTTCTAAGGAGGACTGAGATGAAACAGTGACAGAGGGAATTTAGGCCACATTTTAGATACATGTTTCATACAGAAATACTGTTAGATACTGGGGCATGTTTTCTTTAATAGATATTTTAAATATTACACAAGTAATTTTATTCTACTTAAAAGTGAAAATCTGGGAATTGCAGAAAAGTATGAAGAAGGTAAAATGCATCCATAATTTAATACCCAGACATAAATTCTCATGGGGGAAGCCTTACCACATATAGCCTGAACCCTCATCCCACCTCAAACCATGCATCTCAAGCAACAAGAACACCACACCTTCCCTCCCTCCCTCCATCTTCCCATCAATGTCAATCCCACCTTGTTCCAGAATGAATTACAGGTGGCTGCATGACAATGCAGCCTGGTAGGCTGCAGTCCATGGGGTCGCTAAGAGTCTGACACAACTGAGCGACTTCACTTTCACTTTTCACTTTCATGCACTGGAGAAGGAAATGGCAACCCACTCCAGTGCTCTGGCCTGGAGAATCCCAGGGATGGGGGAGCCTGGTGGGCTGCCGTCTATGGGGTCGCACAGAATTGGACACGACTGAAGCAACTTAGCAGCAGCAGCAGCAGCCTCATGACAATGACTAAGTCCCTTAAACTAGACCTCAGTTGTAACATCTGTCCAGGACACTATCACCTCACCTTTGTTAGAAAGACACCACGTGACTGAATGTCACTCACCGAGTGCCTTCCTCACTATGTACATTGCTTAGTGCTTTCACCCACCTCATCTTCAAGCCCCATTCAGAGTACAGTGTTAAGGTACTGTGAATTCCTGATGTATCCTGATGACAATCTACCTTCTTCTGGAAGTTACAGGGAGCATGTGCAGGGATGGGGTAATTGAATAAAATTCTAAACAACAAATAATTAAGGATTAAGTGACAGTAACATGTAGGAGTTTTCTTTATAGGTTAGAAACAGAAGTACCTTATACCTTTTCCTGGTAAATCTTCCTAGTCTCAAGATATTCCAGAATTTTTTCCCTTAAACTCTCAAATTTCATGGATGTTCCTGGACAGCACTTGCATCACAAATGTGCTGAGGGACCCATCAGAATGAAATGTAAAGGGTCTGCAAAATGAGAGTGTTCCATGCCCTAAGGGAATCTGAACCTAGGGTCCCAGCGTGTGGTGAGTCCTATCCGAAATGTCTCTTAGGCACAGGTATGCATGCACAGAAGAGCACACTCATCCTACACCCCACCCCCACCACTGCTGCAGATTCTCAGCAGACTTGCTTTCAATCTGCCACATGCTCTTAAGACCCAGTCATGAAGCTTAGTCTCTGGAGGTGTAGGATTGAAAAGGGCACAGAGACCCCTGGTGGAGATGCTGAAGAGTGAACCAGGAGACAAACTAACTAAGACACCCTGCAGCAGGCTCACCTGTTTTGCCCTTTCAGTGAGGGCAGAGGCCTCTGCCTTGCCCAGTGTTTGCACCATCTTGTAAAACAGGCTATCTGCATTTTGCAGCAAATAATATGGCTGGGTATATTCTTTCTCGATCCCTGAATCCAAGACCTGTTAATCAGGAGAAAGAAACCAATTAGCACCAGTGTTTCACAGTAAGATATTATGTGTGTGTGTGTGTGTGTGTGTGTATGTGTGTGTGTGAAGTCACTTCAGTTGTGTCCGACTCTTTGCAACCCTATGGACTGTAGCCCGTCAGGATCCTCTGTCAATGGGACTCTCCAGGCAAGAATAATGAGTGGATTGTCATTTCCATCTCCAAGGGATCTTTCCAACCCAGGGATTGAACCCATGTTTCTTTTTCTTTTTTTTCATTTATTTTTATTAGTTGGAGGCTAATTACTTTATAATATTGTAGTGGGTTTTGTCATACATTGACATGAATCAGCCATGGAGTTACATGTATTCCCCATCCCGATCCCCCCTCCCACCTCCCTCTCCACCCGATTCCTCTGGGTCTTCCCAGTGCACCAGGCCCGAGCACTTGTCTCATGCATCCCACCTGGGCTGGTGATCTGTTTCACTATAGATAATATACATGCTGTTCTCTCAAAACATCCCACCCTCGCCTTCTCCCACAGAGTTCAAAAGTCTATTCTGTACATCTGTGTCTCTTTTTTTGTCTTGCATATAGGGTTATCATTACCATCTTTCTAAATTCCATATATATGTGTTAGTATACTGTAATGGTCTTTATCTTTCTGGCTTACTTCACTCTGTATAATGGGCTCCAGTTTCATCCATCTCATTAGAACTGATTCAAATGAATTCTTTTTAATGGCTGAGTAATATTCCATGGTGTATATGTACCACAGCTTCCTCATCCATTCGTCTGCTGATGGGCATCTAGGTTGCTTCCATGTCCTGGCTATTATAAACAGTGCTGCGATGAACATTGGGGTGCACGTGTCTCTTTCAGATCTGGTTTCCTTGGTGTGTATGCCCAGAAGTGGGATTGCTGGGTCATATGGCAGTTCTATTTCCAGCTTTTTAAGAAATCTCCACACTGTTTTCCATAGTGGCTGTACTAGTTTGCATTCCCACCAACAGTGTAAGAGGGTTCCCTTTTCTCCACACCCTCTCCAGCATTTATTGCTTGTAGACTTTTGGATAGCAGCCATCCTGACTGGCGTGTAATGGTACCTCATTGTGGTTTTGATTTGCATTTCTCTGATAATGAGTGATGTTGAGCATCTTTTCATGTGTTTGTTAGCCATCTGTATGTCTTCCTTGGAGAAATGTCTGTTTAGTTCTTTGGCCCATTTTTTGATTGGGTCATTTATTTTTCTGGAGTTGAGCTGGAGGAGTTGCTTGTATATTTTTGAGATTAATCCTTTGTCTGTTGCTTCATTTGCTATTATTTTCTCCCAATCTGAGGGCTGTCTTTTCACCTTGCTTATAGTTTCCTTTGTTGTGCAAAAGCTTTTAAGTTTCATGATGTCCCATTTGTTTATTTTTGCTTTTATTTCCAATATTCTGAGAGGTGGGTCATGGAGGATCCTGCTGTGATTCATGTCGGAGAGTGTTTTGCCTATGTTCTCCTCTAGGAGTTTTATAATTTCTGTTCTTACATTTAGATCTTTAATCCATTTTGAGTTTATTTTTGTGTATGGTGTTAGAAAGTTGAACCATGTTTCTTCTGAATCTCCTGCAATGGCAGGTGGGTTCTTTACCATGAGCACCAAATGTTTCACAGTAACATATTTAGCTTGGACAGTATTTCAGAAACGGGCAGGACAGGGAGAATTGGGAGAATCTATTTGGGTGGCAGGACTGGCTGGTGTTTAAACAGTTTGATTCCCCTGTTTTATAGGCAGACAAAGGCCTAACCTGATCTTTTATTATTATAAGGTTATAGGAAGGGAAGAAAGTGGAAGTTTTAAGTATGATTACTGACACTCAGCAGTATGTAGCATCTTATATTCTGCCCAGGGCATTTGGGGTTGTTATCATTAGTTAGTGCTTTTAGCTCTCAGACTCTGATCTTTGAGGGATATTTATACAGATACACAGAGTTGGCAAATATCTTGATTCAAGAAAATGAAAGTCAATTTTTCTAAAAAGCAGGTTGATGTCAGACAAACCAGATGGCAGGGGCCTGACAGCAAATTGTCAAGTTGGTTTTACAGAACCTGAGCAGTATTTGTGAAAGAAGATGCTTCTTGAATTTCTTTATGGTTCTTAATTACTGTCAGCTGCTAAGAGGGGCAGAATCCTTTATCTGAGAGGTTAAGATGCTTCTTGAAGTTGGCTGTGGTTGTAGTTTATTATTCTGAGAGTGTAAGGCTGGCAAAAGGAGCTGCTACATAGCAGCTTTAGTAGAACTGCTCTGCACAAAAACAAAACAAAACAAACAAACAAACAAAAACCTCTAGAAATCCAATTTTCTCCTTGGACAAGATCAAATAAGCAATTAAGAAATTGAGCTTGTAATTCTAGTGATCATGGACCACACAGCACAGGGAGGCAGCCCAATCTGAACTGTCTAGGACCTGAACCTGTTTTCACAAATCATCTTTCACTGCTCCTTTTTCTTTCTTTCTAAATGCCTTCCTTACACCCCTTTTATTGTTCATTAGTAGGTCTGCCAGATTTCCCAGGTAGCTCAGATGGTAAGAATCCACCAGCAATGCAGGAGACCCTGGTTTGATCCCTGGGTGGGGAAGTTCCCCTGGAGAAGGGACGGGCTCCCCACTGCAGTGTTCTTGGGCTTCCCTGGTGGCTCAGCAGTAAAGAATCTCCTGCAATGCGGGGGACCTGGGCTCGATCCCTTGGCTGGGAGGATCCCCTGGAGGAGGGCATGGCAACCCACTCCAGTATCCTTGCCTTGGAGAATCCCATGGACAGGGGAGCCTGGCCGGCTACAGGCCATGGGGTCACAGAGAGTCAGACACACACACGACTGAGTGACTAAGCGCAATAGGTCTGCTAACTGGAAACTGAAAGAGAGGAAGGGGCCCAACTCTCCCTTCCTACGTCTTAGTGACTTTGGTTAAACAGTCTTTGGGTGGAGGGGAGGGAGTGTCTGAAACAATCTGCTCAAATGACATAACTATAAAAACTGTTCTGATGTTAAGTAGTACTTCGTTCTTCATTTAGAGTAAATGTAACTTAAGAGAGTATGCTGAAACTCTAAACAAGACACAGGTGGTTTTTCCACATCTAGGTATTACAGTTAATTCAATTCTTTGTATTTAATTAGAAATATTTATTAAGTCTCATAAAGTCCATTTTCCTGTTAATCTTTTGTTCACTCCTGTGGATCATTGCCAAGGGCAGCTCTCTCAAAAGTGCCCAAGGATAATAGAATCTGTCACATCCACATAATAATTTATATCTTCTGTAACTTGGCCAATTCAGATGCTCTGAATGTACAATTTTACTTAAGTATATCATGACAGAACATAACTAGTCATTCTGATGTCAAGGAAGAAAAAGTACAATTTTAAAACACGGGTCTCCAAATGCCTATGGTCAATTAATCTATGAAAGAGTAGTCAAGAGTATGCAATGGAGAAGAGAGTCTCATTGGTAAATAGTACTGGGAAAGCAGGACACCTACATGGAAATAAGTGAAATTAGAACACACTAATTTTTTTGTATATATACAACCATACAAAATAATCCATATACAAAATAAACTCAAAATGGTTTAAAGACCTAATATAAGACTGGATATTATAAAACGAGAGGAAAATACAGACAGAACACTCTTTGACATGAATCACAACAATGTTTTGTTAGATCAGTCTCCCAAAGCAAAAGAAAAAAGCATAAGTAAACAATTAGGACCTAATCAAACTCAAAAACTTTTGAACAGCAAAGAATATCACCAACAAAATGAAAAGACAACCCCAAATGAGTGGGATAGAATCAAATGATGCAACCGACAGGCGTTTAATATCTAAAATATATAAACAACTCATATAACCCAATATCAAAAAACCAATCAAAATATGGACAGAAGACTTAAATAGACATTTCTTCAAAGAAGACATACAGAAAACCAACAAGCACATGACAAGATGCTGCACATCACTATTTATTAGAGAGATGTTAATCAAAATCATAATTTGGTATCATTCACAGGAGTCAGAATGGCCATCATTGAAGAGGCTACATGTAACAAGAGAGGGTGTGGACAAAAGGATACACTTCCTACACTATTGATGGGAATATAACTTGGTGCAGCCATGATGGGAAACAGTATGGATATTTCTGAAAAAAAAAAAACAAAAAACTGAAAATAGAGCTACCATATGATCTAACAATCTCAGTACTGGGTATATATCTATAAATGATAAAACCCTAATTCAAAAAGATATATACACCAATGTTCATGGCAGCAATACTTAAAATAGCCAAAATATGGAAACAACCTAAGTGGCCATCAACAGATGATTGGTTTAAGAAAACATGATATCGCACACACAGACACACACACACACACACACAATGGAATATTACTCAGACCATAATAAAAGATGAAATATTGCCATTTGCACCAACATGGGTGAACCTAGAAAATCATACTAAGTGAAGTAAATCAGACAGAGAAAGACAAATATGATATCATTTGTATGCAGAACCTAAAAAATAATACAAACAAACCGACATATAAAACAGAAACAGACTCACAGACACAGAAAACAAACTCAGTTACCAAAGAGGAAAGGAGAGGGCATATAAATTAAGACTATGGGATCAACAGATACAAACTACCATAAATGAAACAGATAAGCAAAATCAGTTCAGTCGCTCAGTCAAGTCCAACTCTTTGTGACCCCATAAACCTCAGCACGCCAGGCCTCTCTGTCCATCGCCAACTCCCGGAGTTTACTCAAACTCATATCCATTGAGTTGGTGATGCCATCCAACCATCGCATCCTCTGTTGTGCCCTTCTTCTCCTGCCCTCAATCTTTCCTAGCATCAGGGTCTTTTCAAATGAGTCAGCTCTT